AAGAGCAGGACAGGACAGAAATAGGTGGGAGCATGAAAAAAGGCGGACAGTCCATACTCAGGGAGGTGGGTTACAGAGGGGGAGAGGGCATCCTCACCCTCAGCCCCCCCAGAGCGCTTCATTACAGTGGGCATTAGAGTCTTCTCTCTATTATCATTATTTTGGCCAGTTTCTACCAGCTCAACATTTTAACAAGGTCCTTTGCTGAAAAAAACTATTTAAAAAGATACCAACCAAACAAACGAACAAAAACCAACAGGCAACATAGGCACTGCATTTTTCATTGCAATGTGCTGCTTGCTGGCAGCATTGCTTTTAGGATCTTGCCGCTTGTAAGGTCCCAAAGTACAGCAGTCTTGGTGTTCAGGGCTGTCAACAGTGAAAAAAGCACCCTTAAAAACAACGTCTCGCTAGAAAGCGGCACTGCTGCAATTCAGACACCAGAACATACACAGCTTTGGTTGGCAGGTTACTAATTATGGGTTAAAACCACTTCATGTTCACAGATTTGGGGTATTCCTTTGCAAGTTACTTCAGTCAATGTATATTTATTTTCAGCTTGCAATCTTTAAAAAGAAAACAACCAAAACCCACAGCCTAAAATAGAATTAGAGATTTTAAGTGTTTGATAGCTTAAAAATTGTTTAGTTTTGATGGCTCAGGATGCATGGTAGGAAATTCGGGATAAGAAATTTCAGGCCTGGCAAAATAAGAGAGCACTGAGCTCTCTGTATCTGCCCATGGGAAGTGCAGAAACCAACCTTTCCCAACACCTGCTTACAGCTTTTGCTGTTGGGAGATGTTATAGTGAGATTATCCCTCATCTTACAAAAGTGCAAATAGAAAAATGAAAATTTAAGGGGGGAAATTTTAGGAACTCCTTTAGGCTTAAAAATAATCCTAGCCTAAATGTGGGGCATTATTTTCATAGCAGACAAATAGTGATACAATTCTTATTATTTTTTAACTGTTTTCAAACCAAGAAAAAAAGTGCAAGGTTCCTAGTTAAACAGTGTAACATCATGCCGTGAAGGATGGCATACTGACCATAGAAAGCACCTAAGTATTAGACAAAAGCTTATTTAAAAAATATCCTTAACACTGAGGTCTTATAAAAACTACATAAAGTACATAAATATTCAGTTTCAGATTTTTAATTTGAGAATTTTAAAATACAAGACAACATGATGCTGAGACCCAGTTAAAAAAAAAGGAGAAACAGGATGAAGATGTAGCAGCCTGAATACTAGACATACTTCTGTAATCAGGTTAAACAGGGTTGTCATTCCTTAGGTTATCCAGGCTAGTGGAAGCTATAATTTGCTTCCACAGTTTAGAATATATTTTTTTAAACATATAAAACCATTGGATTTAAAAACAGGTTTTACTATGTAGTTCAGAAGGTGAATTTCCTCTATGTAGCGCAATAACTTTAAATATAGTCTTTATCAAAGTATAATATATATTTTCGCAATCTTTTTTTTTTTTTTCAGATTAATTCCAGTTATTGCCTTCATATTACATGTTATTTACACATCTGAATATACGAGTGATAGATTCACATCTCAAATTCGATCAATAATCTTAACCTTAGAGAAAGTTACTTTGTGGAATTGGATTTTCGTCCTTACTGATGGAGTCTCAGTCTTAAATAAATGAAATTGCCTCCAACTGAGAACCTGACTAACTAAGGTAACTGAGATATTCAGAGATATCAAAGTTGTGAGATTTCCAATTAATCTTGCAAAAAGAAAACCAAATATACGCACATTTTCCCTTTTTGTAGGAACCTCTTCACTTCTAGTTTGTTTGATCTCTAAAACATACAATCTTTATAATGGAGTAATGGTATTCTAGTCAGTTTTAGGTTAAATGAAATTTAGTATTGTAATCAACTAAAACAGACAGACTTATATAAAAGAATATAAAGGATTCAGTTCTGAACTTAATAAATAGAACCCAAAGAATCCTAAACATGAGAGCACTTGTGCAAAACAACACAAAACCCAACTGAGATCATATATACTAGGATGTGCATTTAGCTTTATAAAATCTGAGGCCAGGGTCCTAAGAAGAAAGAAGTGCCAACATAGAAAACAAGGGAGGCGAGGACCTGAGGAGAACGTCTTGTCCACCTCTGTGCCTAGCAGTGGGATCGGCTATTCCAGCGCCATCGCGGGTGGGTGCTTGGTCTATCGGTCCCAAAAGATTACTGGGGTGGAGACTGAGCAGCATCCCTAGGCAGCCCAGTACTTAACTACTGCTAGTATGAGAAGGGTTGTTCTGATGCCTCCCTTAACCCCGGGCTGTAACTCCATCCCTGTCTCCCAGTCCCATCCACAATGGGAAGAATATATTCCTTCTCTCTTCATAGCCGTATTTTTTAATATACACTACTCATACCTCTCCTCATCTTCCTTTTCACCGAACTAAGGAATCCCAATGTCTCCAGCAGGCCCCTGGGAGCTGTTTTCACATCCCATCTGTTTATTCTGCAGTTGGTCCACATCCTTCTGCAATTTTTGTGCCAATTGTTGGCCGTAACTTTTTGCTAAAGTTTTACCAGCACTGTATAGAAGAATTGGAAAACTTCAAGGGCATCCCAAACAAAAGGCCCATTTGTACAACCCAACATGAAGTTTGCCTTCATTTTTCAAAAGCATTTAATTATTGTTGCATTCAGTTTGTGATTTATTTTTCCAAACCTTTTCTGCCCTACTGCTTCTCATCCACTCATTCCCTATCTGTATTTTCACAATTAGGATATTCCTGTGCAGTTAATGTGCAAAGACTCTATTCCACCATCACTCCCCCTGTGTATTATATAGGCTAATTTTCTCTCTGCATAACTATTAATTTATAATTGTGCTCCAAAATTTAAGGCAGAACCATATTCTCAGAAACAAAAGGTGGAAATAGCATTTAAAAATATTTTGCATCAATTAATCCTGTTCAATATACTCATGTTTACAGAACAGTGATTTAAAAGAATGCCCTGTCATATACTTCAGACTGTAACAATGTGAAGTTTGCCAGGAGAAAGTATAAATCTAAATTACTAAGGCTGTAGTGATTGCAGGAGGGTGGCACAAAGGAAAGAGAAGAGCAAAGAAATAAAGGAAAAAATGAAAGGGGGAATTTTTTATTTATTTATTTTTTTAATGAGATAGCCTCATTTCCATTAGCACTTGCCTTGTCTGGAAGAGTTTTTTTACTTTGCCATACACCGCCCCTGACTTTTTTTTTTTTTTTTTTTTCTCTTCTTTCCTTGTACTTAACTTTCAGAGATACCAAGGCACTGTTGTGGATTTGGTTTCGTAGTAGCTAAATACTGCTCTCAGAGGAACACAAACATCCCATACCCAAAGTGGTTTGCAGGAACTCTGTCTTAACTGTTGAGGTTTCCCAAGGGGCTCCCAGGACCCATAGCATGAGTTAGGTCCTAAAATTTTGCTAGTCTTTCTGCTGAGTTGGGGGAAAAGTCAGGGAAGAAAAGAACATTAAACAGGCTCCAGGGCTGCTGGGTACCCCAACTGGGCATTCCCTGTGCAGGCCCCCCCCGGCCCCTGAGTCTAACAGCCCCAGAAGTGACAGCTATCCCTCACACAACTGTTGGTTACAAGGTGCAGCGAGGCCCTTCTTGGGCTGCAATGTCGCAAAAGCCTGTTTGCTTCTGGAGCGAATACAGAAGTGATGGAGTACAAAGGTACAGCCCTTTGGCCACGGTTGAAAGATGCAACTGGGAGAACAAAGAAGGCAGAACCTGACACTAAGCTCAGGCTCCAGCAGACACAGGTCGCAGCTCCCAGGGTCTTCACCCTGAGCCATCCGTGTGTTTTAGTCTCGGACTAACGCACATACCCAGCTCTGAGTGGCTGGCTCTGGGAGGGGAACTACCTTTGGGCAGGTAGCAGCCCAGCTGTGCTTCCCAAGAGAAGCTGGACCAGCAAGGAAGAGGCCATAGGATAAATGCTTTTCCACATCAGCCTCCAGAGCTATAACTATAAGTGGGTTTTTGTGGATTTGTGTGTTTTTAAATAATGAGACAGGTCTTTTTGCCAAATACCTTATTTTGTTTGGCAGTAACTTTCTCACTTGGAAGGTAATTTCTAACTTGCAGCAGAGAAGTGTTGCTTGTAGCCAATTTCAAGAACAGATGAGCGTGCACTCCTCACTGCTGTAATATTTATTTTGAACATACCAGAGAACCGATCCCATCTGCAGCTTTTAGCCTCACAGATCTCTTTATTTCAGGGTTTCTTTACTCCCACCCGCCTTTCTTCAGTACAAATAATGAGTATAATTGCCATGGAAAGAGGCTGTGCTCCAAACCCTTACAGAAGCCCAGTCACAGGGCAGTCAGGGAGAGCACAGACTGCTAAAAAACATCAAATATGCAAGTAAGAGCATGTACATCATCTGATTTCTTTGCTAAGGGTGACAGTTGTGGCGCTGGGTTACGGTCAAAGTACATGTGCTCTAGTTCAGAGAGACCAAACAAACTACTGTCCCTGCCTGACCTTTCCTTAAAGCAGACAAGGTGCTGGGTCTTAGAACAGATCACAATTCCTTCTTTTAAATATGAAATTGTTAAACACCCATCAGGGTGGGTAGGGCAGGAAGTGGAAAAATAAAAATAGTATCACAGGAGAGAGGTTAACTACATTTCTCATTTTCTGACTAAGCAGTGTGATCAAAGTTTGAAAATGCCTACTCCTGTAAGACATTTAAAATTTAAATACCCGAGTACATATGGAAAACATACAAGATAAGGATCAGAGACAAAGCATTTAACATCATGAACTTATATTTTTACAAAGTTACAGCATTTTTTCCCCTCAGATAATCAATTTTACATTCCTAATTATTTCTGCACTGTGTAAAATATGCCTGTATATAAAGTTTACAGAGGCTTCTTTTGCACAGATCAGACAAATATGTACAAGACACGAAAATAAGTTTTTTTATAAAAATGTCAAATGCACAATTAGAGGTCTTAAAATACTTTTTTTTTTTTTTTTAAAAAAGAACAATTTTAAACTGTGTGCAAAATTAGGTAAAAAATACTTTCTTGCTATTTCAAAGAGTATAGTAGATCAGACTTTGTAGGGTCAGGCTAAACTATTTCTGTGCTGAGAGCAGCTTAATACTTTCTTTACCAAGAAGAAACTCTCAAGAACTTGCTTGGTTTTAGCACCTGTGTTCTCAGTGAAGGGCTTAGGGGTCTGTGTGCATGTGTCTGAAAACTGTGCATTAACTTTAAAACTGTTAGAGGTCCATCTGCTGATTTCCAGAGTTCTGATGATTGTTTCTTGAGCACAATTGGCTTGAGCAGTGGTAAAAGTGAGAACATAATCAAAATCTCCATCTAGGCTTGTTGTGTTTGTTCAAAACATCAGACTGGGTGGAGGAATCTGTATGAGAGAGTTGTGCAGGTCACTGAACACCATGATAAAAGCAAATCTTAACTTCTTGATTTACAAAATATCAAATCTTTACCAAAGGAACAAAAGCTTTAGTTTTCACCTTACACGCACAGAATTTCAATTACATTTTTTTGTTAGAGAGAGAAGTGTTTCATTAAGAGTATGCCAGAATTTATGCAATATTACATGACCTTTTAGCTTTAAAGGTGAAGTTTTATAATCAACTCCAACACGGCAGTGCCGTTACTATCCCTCAGTGCCTGTTGTACTCACTTCTGCCTTCCCATCTCTGAGCTGACACAGGTACTCGCACAGCTAAGCTGTAAACAGGATTGGGTGAAAACAGACTGAAAGACAAGCCCCATGGGTTCTTCCAGTTGGATCAGCTTCCCCAACTTCCACCACGGCATGGCAATGCTCACCACAGACAAGCAGCTACAGGTGGATGGGAAGCAATGTAGCAGTTTAAACCAGGATGCTCCTAAGCATATAACTATGGCCTCAGACTGTTATAGGGATGGGGTTTAGCTTTATCAACCCAGCCAAAACTCGGCTTCTCGGCCAATTAGTCAACTTGGCCACTCTTACTTTTATATATGCTGTACTTCACTTAGGACTCTTAGAGCAGATGACAGTGAGGTGATGCTGCAGGTGCAGATTTTGCCCAGAAGTGGTTTAAACCCTGGGCTAAGCTGCCTTTGTGTCAGAGGAGAGGATGAATGAAAAACGCTTTTTTTTTGGTGTTATTTTTCAGAGGGTACAGTGAAGAAAGGAATAGAGGAAAGAAAAGAGCATAAAAGAAATCTTATCACTTGTTTCACTATGTATTTTTAAAAGACTACAGATTACAGAAGCATTTTTTGTAAATAAATTTCTGTATCTTCCTCTAAGCCTACTGCACATAAAGCACACGGTACAACCATCAATACACCGCTTTTCAGTTCAACTTGCATTTTTCTGCACAAATGCTTTCTGGGTGACTTCACCCTTTGACTGTTCCTATACAGAAGATCAAGTAAGCCAAGCTTGAAAGGCTGAAGTGGCTTGATCAGAGAGCTCACAAAAGCAAGAGAGTAGCTGCCAGTTACACAAACACAGTCTACTTCATTGCTGCAGTTTTACATCGGCACAAGGTTTAGAAATCAGATTCTGTTGTTACCTGAAAAGTAGCTGATTCTGCCTAACCAACACTATATCCTAGTGCATTGCTAGGAGAGTAACATCATCTTTGCACTTTGGTTCTCAGAGGAAACTCACCCTGAGGAGCTTTCTGGAGGCTCTCAATACTGATACTAAGACTTGAAGTAGCAGGCATGGGAAATACACAAAGCTGCAGTTCGTAACAAGACTAGAGCAGTCAAAATCCTTTAAACGATGACTTTAGCAGCCAGGGTCTTATATACTGCAGTGTGACTTTCTGGATATAGCAAAGAGTAGCTATATTCTCAGGGCAGCAAATGAAAAATTATGTTAAGTATGGTGGTTATCTGAAGTAAACCCTATCATACCCCCAAACCCATCTCCTGGGCTTCATTATCCTTACCTTCTCTAAGGAAGTCTAACTGCTGGGGCCTTTAAATGCAAATCCATTCTTTAGACACTGTCCTGGCTGGATCATTTGTGTGTATAAGTCCATCCTCTGCTGCATACTACAAACACAAGTTAAGACACAAGCAATCAGAAGCCGAACTAGTGCAGAAGACAGCCATCAGCTGGCTATGTGACCTTAACTTTTCTTAAGGCCCTGGGCAGATATCAAAGTTCAGGCCACATAATTAGACATCTGTAATGCTCCCATCACCATGGCATGAGCAATTCAACAACAGAAGCTACACTGGGGTAATCAGCCTCCCCTAACAGCCCAACACATGGGCACACACAGTATCTTGAAGACAACTGTCTCCAGGCTCTGGCAGTCATAACTGACTGGTCTCAAGAGTGTGTCCCTGGAAATCAGAGACAAACACACCTCCTGTACAGTCAGAATCACACGTACTCTCAAAGTCTCTAAAGGAAAAGTTAACAAGTTCACTAATTGGCAGATCCAGACAGGGCATTTACCCCTGAAGTTGTCATAATACTGAGGGATGCCACTAGCCTCTTTCTTATACAATTTTAAGATGAAAGTATATATATATATATATATATATATATATATATATATATATATATAAAAAAAAAAAAAAAAAGGCAAACAGCTCCCCCCAAAAGACCATATTACTTGCTCAAAGCCACCTTGATAATTTTGATTTAACTCCTGAGCATGGCTTTAAGCAGCTACTATTTCCATCACCATTTTCATGCTATTCCTTAAACCTAGGATAGCCTCCCCAAGCCACACTAGAAAGGCAGTTCCCAGACCGCCACTACTTTTGTACTCCAAGTTCATGGCTATAAAAATATTATGGGAAAGTTTCTGCTGGGGACTGTCAGTCTTTCGCTTGCTTGCTTACATCTGTGTTTAAATCCTTAGCTAAAATGATATTCAGGAAGACTAAGTTTAGCCCAAAGGCCACTGTCCCAAGATGCCTTGTGGAGGAGTCTTATATTAGCCTATATTCAATCTCTCTAAATTAAAGCTCATCTTCTTGAGTTCCTCTGCAGCTTTAGTCCAATAGGTGCATTTGCCTCCAAGCATGTGTTCTCACCGCTGTTTTCAGTCTTGCCCTTCCCCAGTTCCCACCATTTGCAAAGCCCTAAGTCATCTTCACATGGCACAGTATGGAAGGGGATAGCTGAGTCACAGCAGGAGACAAGCAAATCCGGCAAACAAGCCATTCCTGGACAACATATAGATGTTTATGGTTTCCCTTCAGACAAAAGTCTTCAAGGGGTTTCGCTAGGCAAATGCAACTGACTGACGTTTAACGCTACTACTTCTACAGTGAACAGCTATCCATGTCTATGAGAGCTGCTTTTCCATAGGAACTGCTTATAATGCTGTTTATACCCACAATATTATGTTTCTGGGTACCTTTGTGAATAAATCTTCACTGATGGCTCCAGTAGGTAGCAGAGATGGTCCGATACCAAAAGATGACACTTGCAATCATTTCTATCAATTTTGGGCCTATTGTCAGAAAAACAGCTATGGGGAGTCAAGATTTTATGCTGTGGAGTAGCATCTTCATACAGATTTATCACAACACATCATTTGCTACTAATGGTTCCCTGCATGTCTTTTCCATAATATTAATCTTACTAGTCTCTAAGAAAATATACCACAGTCCATATACCTATGTGCTACTCAACTTCTCAAACACAAGATCCCGGAGTCACCTTATGTCATTAAGGAGGCTGAAAGTCTTACCCCCTCAGTGCACCACTCAGCTTTGGAGCTTATTGCCATCACATGCTGTCTACAACTCCAAAGTTTTAAAGTTAGTTAAAGAATAAGGAGATGAATCCATGGCAGATATACCCATCCACAGTTTGGATACAAGTTCCAGGTCTGTGCTCTTCATTAGCTACCTGCCAAATCCATCTGAGGAAGGAGCTCTCCACAGCTGCCACCAGTGCTTGCAAGGCAGTATTTGCTTTTATTTACTTATATTTCACAGACTCTTTAGACACAGCATTTTTTGCTGTCAAGGGCAACTACCACAGGTTAAACGTTAGTGCCACAAAGGGACCTGCTTGTCTATGCTTTAAAGCAATATTAATGCCACAATAACTAATATTATTTCATTCAGGAGTAATAAAGAAAATACTTTAACACCCCAAATACTCACGGTTTGTAGATGTTAGAAGCTTTGATATTCTTTGTCAGGTCTTCCATAGCCACAAATTGCCACAAAACTGTAGCTAGTTAACAGACCCTTGTTTTGATTTCATTTGGTATTTCCAGAAAATATCCTCTTTTTGCTAAAATGTCAAGTAATCCATATGAGTTTCCAGCTAATGCTGGATACACATATATAGGTGTATAGCATGAAATGAAAAAAAAAAAAAAATTTACTTTTCGTTTTGTTGAACAAGATGCACACCAGACTATTTACAAGTGCATAGCTTTGTGGAAAGCATCATTAACAATAATCCTTTTGGCCAGCCAGCTGAAGCTACCAAAAAGGGCAATTTGTGCATCTGAGATAAGAAAACAGAACACCATAAGAGAACTGAAGCTATAGAATAGTTTGAATTTTTCTAGAATCCTTATGAAAACAACCCCATTACTTCCAAAACTTATATGAAGAGCAAATAAAGAAACCTTTTTCCAGTTTTCTTTGCAGTTGATTCTTATTAGAGGGGATAAAAACACCAACCCTCAGTCTAGACTATGGTGCCCCTTTCTGAAGTAAACTAATTTAGTTAGGCAAGACAGAGTTAGCTTGTATCACTGTTAAAAAAAAAAAAAATCATGAAACCACCAGAAAACAGACACACAGTGAGACAGACATCTTGGGCAATCTAGCCTCCCTTTTGAAGAAAGGCTATGGCCCTTGTCTTTGGAAGGTATCACTGTTAGACTGAAGTTCTTCTGCCTCCCTGGGCCTTGCTGAGAGAGGGGCCACAAGAATGTGCAGTGGTGGGCCACGAGAGCTCTCCTGGGTGTCACAGAGAACAGTTTTCCCACCAAGCTGGCCACTGGGCCCTGCTGCTGAGCCTCTGTGTGCTTTCCCCTCAGCTTTGATAGAGCAGCGTTCTGTGGGGCAAAAGTGCTTCCCCTTCAGTCCTCTTCACCCAGCACTCCTCTATTTTTATTATTATTACTTACGCAGGGTCCTTGTCTGTTTTAAGGAAGACAGACACCTCTGTTTAAAACTCCAGCTATTCAGGCTAACACTGCTGGCTTTGCACCAAGGTGCTACAAGCACTTACTAATTTGTAACATCATCTTGGCGGTAAAGGTAACAGACAGTTTCAGCAACTCTTTAGGCTAATTCCCTGATACAAGAGAACACATGGACTGCACCCAACCACTTCTGCGCTCCCTCTAACCGAGGGGTGACAACCTCTTAGGGGAACAGCAGCGAGTGACTTAAAGCAGTCACATTTCCAGATGGAAAAGCAGTTGATAGAGGACACTAGGAACGAAAAGTGTCCAGGGAGGGATACAAGACAAATAGCTATCCCAGCCCTTCTCCAGTTAAACAAACCCCAGGAACAAATACTTGCATGTTTTACATGGGGTCAGAGAGGATTTCTTCAGCTGTTCTTAGTAGCTGCATATCACTATATAATGATGCAGTGCAAGAACTTAACTCTTTTTATATCAATCTAGTTCTTAAATCAAACAGGATATGAAGCGTTTCCCAATGTAAAACTTTTTTCCTTATGCACTGATCCTTCTTGGATCTAATAAACAGCCAGATTGATTTTTTTTCCTCCCCCCCAATCAATATTTCTGAGACTGTGGTATTCTCCAAAGACTCTCAAAATAAAACACAATTAAGTTTCAGAAATCAGTTTTGGATGCCAGAAGTAGTTTTCACATGTTCTGAAGGTCGATGTTGGCACTCAAACAGCATTTATGTACCTCCAGGGATTCCAAACATTCATCACTAAAATATGTAGAAACATTGAGGATCACTCTCCTGTCTGATTTCCTAATATTTTTCCCTTTATACATTTGCTTAACAGATACCAATATCCAGAAGGAAGCTGTGGTTTATATTAAAAGTGGGTGTGAGTTGGGAGCAGTCAGCATACATAACCAAGCAGGTTTTCAGATCTCTGCCAAGTATCCTGCAGGTCAGTCAGGAGAACCACAGACATACCCGGCAGTATTTGCACGTAGGAGCAGATATGTACATAGATACCATCTGCAGGTTTCCGTTCCCTCCCTGCAGATTTTCAATCCCTATTTTTCCTATGACTTTGTTCTCTGTAGTCCTGAAAGTTTTTTTTAAGTATTAACTATTTTCTGCTCTGTGACAACAGATACTGGAGATATCCTTTCATCAGGCTACTGATTGACAGCTTCTATTAATTTCAGGACTGTAAGACAGATCCTGTATTGCAGGTTAGTCTTACTAAATATCCCTTGCTGTATTACTCAGAGGAATACCAGTAGGGAAAGTCATGGGAAAGAAAAGAAAGAGGAGGGGGCAGGGAAGAACAACTTGTCAGACTCATCCACTAGTATTTTAAGATTAAATTATCTTTCCCCTTTGCTAGCCCTAGGAAGCCCAGCAGACCCTGAGGAGCTCTGCAACACCCCAAAGCCAGATCCTTTGGCTGCAGCCAGCAGAAGGAACAGCAAAAAGCAGAAGGTGCATATCACCAAGCAGCCTTCAGAAAACCTCAAGGAAATTTGACAGATCACCCCAGCATCTGATGAACAGCAGATTTTTTTCAGAAACCAGTAGGGATTTTCAACTATTCCTTGGGCTGGCATGGGTCATGGGTATAATGTGCAGGTATACACATTACATACAACATACACATACAGCATAATGCCTATAATGTTTGTTTCTGGAAAGCAGCTCAAAAGCAGGAGGAAATGCAGCTTCGGTACAAAGCTTTTTTAGAAGTCGTTCATACAAAGTTTGAGAGAGGCAAAGCTAATAAATTTTGTGATATAATTACCAAAGTTGAGCATTTTAATATGGTACTTCATTCACAAAAAGTAGGAAGACATGCTATTAGAAAAAGTATTTACATAGCTACAATAATTGTACTTTTCCAAGACTGGAATATTTATCCATAT